GCACTGTTATATAACAATGTTATGTTTATATTACATTGACATTATGTAACACAACACGCCATTGGTAGAAAGAGGTCACGTGACCCCCACCGGATCGCAACAGGCGAGCGTGACGATCGGCGGAGGGGCACGGGGCACGGGGAGAATACTTCGGCTTGGGCACCCGAAAGTGACGTACGTGTTACCGTCGCGTATAATTGCGTAGATAAGACTTCGACCTGGACACCTGTAAGTCCCAGGCGTTTGTGAACACGAGTTTATTTGGCAGAGTAACCCAGGTAGCAATAGTGCCCTGCTTTTACTAGCTTTTGAGCCCGCGCGAAGCCGGGTCTATAAGTTATCGCTTTAAGGTTGCCTTTACTGTTGTCTTATTATATTAGGTTATATTGAAACATTTGCTGTACATTATTGTATGTGCTCTGGAACTGTTCAGTTATTTCGAGACACTTCTGGCAGAGGACGAGGAATGTCGGCAGTGCTTTCGACAATTTCGCAGCTTGTGCACGACCCTTTTAGTGCCGATGGAGGGTATTGTCGGTGACAGTGCCAAAAGTATACAAAGTATTGTCGACCGCGACACGAACGTTGCGCGGAAGTACGGATACGCGGGAGGTCTTCGATGGAATGCGATCAGCGCCGCGGAGATATTCGAGCCTGTGCTCGCTTACTGGGAAAAGCGCGTGGACACCGACAAGAGCATGCTCGAGCGTTTGCTCAACACTGGTGTCTTGCTGGAACTAATGAATTTGTTTGTACACATGAATAGAGATGAATTTTACTCCACGCACGTGTCGGTCAAGTGCAAGTCGTGCCTGAGCAAACTCTGTACAGTTAAGAGGGACTTGTACAACGCCGTGGTGATGAAATGCAGATTCGTCAGTCTAGTATGTAAGTTTCCCGTTAAAACTCTGCCGGCGAAAGCGTGCGCTATTACTAGGAAAATTATGAAGCGGAATGTCGAGTGGGTCATTTGTGAAATGAAGGAATCCGAATGTAAGTATTGGAGACAATCGTGGAACACGTGTCGCAATTTAACTTACAACGTAGGCGTACTGTCTGAACATGTGTACGAGGAAAGCGTGTGTTTACTGTTTGTTCACCTTCTTGTGCAGTTGCATCTCTCGACTCGACGGAGTTGAACCGAGCCCTACAGATTCTGAGAATTTCAGGAATCTTGAGAATATTATCTCTTTCGTGCTGGACAGATTGAGCGTTGTATATTACAGCAATAATTTGTATAGGAAAGCTGCGACTGTGTGCGCATTGAATGCCTTGTTAACGTATAACCAGTCAAACACAAAAGCTTTTCGTAGATGGGTGCACATTAAGAAAATTACGTCCAAAGAAGTCGCAAGCTTAGCTATGCTGGACTGCTTGACCAGTGATGAAGATGAGATAAAGAGCGAACTGGGACTTTCAATCGATATCTCTAAGTACGACGTTACCGCGTTGTGTCTGCGTGAAGTCAACAGTTTACTGGAGGAACAGGTCGCATTTGCGAACGGCGTGGCAGCGGTTCTGGAAAAATTGAGGAAGCTACAGCCGAGTGATCAACATGCACACACGGTGCAGTTATTAGGGTATTATTTCTTAGGTTTCAATTACGAGAGCTCTATTCTGGAGTTCCACGAGCAAGCTATACACGATTTGAAGCAGAAAAAGTCGAACTCCGTAGCTGTTCTGTGCTTGGAAGCTAATTTAAGTCTTTTTACCTTTGCAGAGAACTTGCGAGTCATGATTAAGCAAACTCAGTTGGAAATAGAAATTACAACGTTTGCTCTGTGCGCTCCCAAGCTACGAGATCTAGTCGAGAACAAATCTCCAAATGTAGTTCCTGCTTACACTATGATAAATGTAAAAAAGGACACCAATCTTAAGTTGTATCTGCAAAACTGTTTGAAGAAGTGGAAGCAACTGTTTAGTCGCTACTTTGTAAGTTGCACCAATGGGATTTTTAAATCGAGTTTACTACGGTTACCTGAATGTTATCTTTCTTTTATTTTTGAATTGCGAGATCTCAGAGTATACATTGTCATTTTGTAAAGTGCTAACTTATTTCTAACATTCTGCAAAAGTTTTGGTTTTTTCTAATATTCTCTTGGTCTTTTATAATATAATTTGGTTTGGACAATGTCCTTGAACATAATTAACGTTTTGCAGAATGCAGAATGTTTGAAGTATTTGAATGTTTCAAATTTCTTGTGTGATTCTGTATTTTTAAATGTATATTTTTGGTCACACTGCGACTGACATTCTGCAAAATGTTGGAAATTTGTTTTTACATTGTCCATTCTGTAAAATGTTAGAAATATTATTTCCGTTTCTTTAAATATGATATATTTTCGGTAACTCCGCCTGACATTTTGCAAAATGAAAGAAATTCGTTTTCATACGTTTCATTCTGCAAAATGTTAGAAATATGTTGTCCGTTTATATAATCATGTCTTTTCCATAACACTGCGCCTGACAGTCTGTAAAAAGTTAGAAATACGTTTTCACACGGTTCCGTTTCTTTAAAATCATGTATTTTCCGTTACACTGCGCTTGACATTCTGCAACATATTAGAAATATGTTAAATATTTTCCGTTTCGTTAAATATTATGTATTTTCGGTAAAAACGCCTGACATTTTGCAAAATGTTTGAAATTCGTTATCACGTTTGCAAAATGTTAGCAATATATTTCTGTTTCTTTGAATAAGTATTTTCGGTAAAACCGCTAGACATTTTTCAAAATGTTAGAAAATCGTTATTACATTCGCCAAATGTTAGCAATATATGTTTTCCGTTTCTTTGAATATATATTTTTGGTAATACCGCCTTATATAATGCAAAATATATGAAATTTGTTTTCACATGGTTCATTCTGCTAAATATTAGAAATATGTTTTTCGCTTTAAATATTATGTTTTTTCGGTAACACCGCCTGACATTTTGCAAAAGGTATGAAATTTGTCACATGGTTCATTCTGCTAAATATTAGAAATATGTTTTCCGCTTTAAATATTATGTATTTTCGGTAACACCGTCTGACATTTTGCAAAATGTTCGAAATTCGTTATCACGTTTGCAAAATGTTAGCAATATATTTCTGTTTCTTTGAATATGTATTTTCGGTAAAACCGCCAGGCATTTTTCAAAATGTTAGAAAATCGTTATCACATTCGCCAAATGTTAGCAATATGTTTTTCGTTTCTTTGAATATGTATTTTCGGTATATATGTAATAATACCGCCTTATATTATGCAAAATGTATGAAATTTATTTTCATATATCAATCATGATTGATTGATTGATACTTTATGTATATATAGATGTTATATACAGGGTGGGCCATTTTAATTTATACAGTCGATTTTTTAAAAAACTAAAAGAGATATGAAAAAATGTTTCAGACAAAAGTTGTATGGTTTCGAGGGGGACATAAGATGGTACCATAGGTTTGACCTTGAAGAGTAATTTGAAGGTCACATGAAGGTTACCTTCAATTTCTTAAATGGAACCTACTATTTCTCGTTACATATTCTTGTAGGTTATCTC